GTTCTGGTTCAGCAACTTTCTCTTTGACCTTGCTGTTTTACTTGTGTGCTCCACCCTACTCTGGCTGCATGTCTGCGCCCTGCATGTCTTGGCCTTCGACTACCAACATATGCTGTTGCTCATGTTTATGCAGTTTATGCTTTTTGTAGGCGTCTTGCCTTTGTTGTATTTGTTCCAGTATTTCTTTCATAAAGCATCAACTGCGTCATTTCTCTTTGTGATTCTTACGACAGCTTATGGTAAGTTATGCATTTTTTTTTTACTTAAAATCAAAAGGGAAGTGCATACTTGTAGTATGAAATAAATTAAGTAAACAAACAATAGAACCCTTTGATAAGCTGACATAGTATATCACTTCTAACTCTAAAGTGTTAAATAAGTACAGCATATATATAGAGAGAGAAAGAGAGGGCCAGATAGATAGGCCTAGTTAAATTGATAGATATATATAAATATGTATACATCATATTTAAAAATAAAAGTATAACTGGATCTGTTATGCTGTCTTTTATGCATTACTACAACTTGCATCCAATCGTCATGAAACTGGGAAGTTGTTGAATATACTCCTATGGAGGTTTCTGCAGAAGAATATAATTTAATTATATATAATATATATAAATATATATTTTTAAAAAATTTCAGCTATTCTATTGAGTAGTAGTATTCAAACCTACCTTGTGATTTCTCCAAACGTTTTATTTTTGGAATTTTATTCTACTATATTGGGCACTGCAAAGCTAGAAGGTAAATGTTTTAGTTATAAACTTACTTTTTTAAATGTGAGATGTGTGTGGTAGTTGAATACATTTTAATAAGTTTTAATCCCATGGTTGTGAACATTTCGCTCTAAAATGCGGTTTATTTCATTGTGTGAATGCTCTTGTTGGATGCTATTGCATTAAATATAAATTTCTACATTTGTATTGATGTTTTTGTTTTTCAGGAGATTCTTTAGGCCTTTTAAGTGGCACATACTGGTTGAAAAGCTTAACATCATCCTTGTTTTTTTGGTTTATGCTGTTGGTGGTAATTGAATGGGATCATACTACTGGCCATAAGTAAATGTTTTCTTTATTGTTTTAATTTTTTTACAGATTATTAAAAGTTAATAGCAGTACATAAGTATAGATTTTTGCAGGTCTTCCAATATTTACGAGGAAGGAAAAAAGAAAGAAACTAACAAAGTGACAAGCGAAATAGCCCTAGAAGGGGATGATGAGGTCATTACAGAAAAAAACCGAATCTTGAACTCAAACATTAAGGATTTGTTTGATACAGGTAGATAATGTCTTTTTTCTCTCTACCTCGTTGCAGCCTAGGAGATGGTGTAGTTGGATGATAGAGTATACACCTGCTACCCCGAAAATCATGAGTTCAGATCCTGGACTTGAGTCCATAGTACCCTCTCAAGTCCACCTAGCTCTGATAAATACAGGTCCCACGTTAGGGCAAGTAAAGGGATCTGGGCATTGTGTAGACCTTTCTATGCCAAGGTGAGGGGTCCGCATGGTCGAGTCGGTAAAGCTCATGGTTGCTAAACCGAAAAGTCTCGAGTTCGAAACCTCGGGCAAATGAGGCTCGTTAGCTGGGGACAGCCACTCTTCTAGGAGAGACAACTCTAAAATCAAACAACTGCTGCCTTGTAGGTTGTTCTTGGTTGGACAAAGGCTATGGAAGCAAATCCAAAAAGAAAAGCAGGCTGAAACCGGAGTCAATGGCCTCAATGGCGCATAACCAGTTGACACATATCCTTAATTGTGGTGGAGGCGTGGTCGAGTCGGCAAAAAGCTCATGGTTGATAAATTCGAACAAAGTCTCGATTTCAAACCCACTGGCAGATAAATCTCGATCCCTTTCAACACTAATAATTAAAAACAAAGAAGAAGAAGATATGCCAAGGTCATTGAAACAGCTGAACTCTACTTTATCTACCCTATCTTAGTTTTGGCAATTGCAACATGAACTGTTATAGTTAAGTTAAGATAGAAAAAAAAAACCTTCTAATATTTACTTAAATATATATATATTTTTTTTTTAAAAACAACAATATAGATGAGTTGATTTTAGTGAAAGTAAGCATGCGTTTCCTCAACTGCATGGCTTTACATTTGGCTGTGGATGATGTAAGCTTTGGTGTTGCAAAAAGTGAATGCTTTGGATTGCTTGGGGAAAATGGAGCTGGAAGGTCAACGATGTTCAGACTTCTTGTATGTGACCTATCGTTCTGTAATGGGGATATATACTACAGTGGACTCAACCTCTATAAAAATAAAATAAAAGTAATTGGAGTTTTTATTCATCACACCTGGGTAAAATGTAAACTGGTTTCTTTCAGACATTATTTGTGGCGGGTAAGTGAGAGGGAGATGGGGGCAGACACTTGTTAACCCTTTATTTACGGAATTAGGTTCTGAATGAAATTTTTTTTTAAACAATGTGTTATCATATTGCTTTTGGCACATTAAAGCTGTTTATGTTGAAGGAAATTTCATTTAAATATTTTTTAATGGCCCAAACAGATATTGGTACTTATAAGTACCGTCAGGAATGTAGGACATTTTTTCAAAAAAATTTTTTTTTTACAAAACAGGAACAAACTAAACAATTTATAAACTAACAACATGGCAATCATTATAACAATCATCTTTTGTAATTTTCACACTTAAATACAGTACAAAAGTATATTTTGAGTACGATTTTTATTGGATTTTCTATCGGAACACATCTTAGACCTCAAACACAGCAAAAGTTGCGGACATGTCATGCTCCCTCATTCTTGTCTGTGGTCTTTCTGGTATAACAACGGTTGCCGGACTGAACATGCTTTTGCTGGAAGCTTCCAATAGCTATTACTTACAATGAGCCGCATAAACAAACAAAAGCCTAGTCATTCAGTACACAACTACTAGTAATACTAGTATAATTCTAGCGTACTAGAATGTTATGACAAGTGTACACTTCAGTGTAAAGTTCATAAATAAAAGTTAACTCAATGTGTTTAGGATTTTTGAAGTGATCTACTGTTTCCTGTTTACGGATTAAAATTTACCATATAGATCTATACTATATGCAGAAGTATGGACTATCACTTGTCTACAGGTATACATTACGTAAATGTATAGTTATTGTAGGCAAGACAGTTTATTGCAGTAAATATAACTAACAAATTAAATCTTACTACTAGTACTAGGCTTTGGTATATAAATGAAGTAAACTAAACCTAGTAAACGAACCTGCAACTGCTACCTTTATTCTTGTTATTCTTTTACTACTAGAAATCATGTAATTACAATATTTCTTAGGTAAACCATATGCTAACCTTCTTATAAATGTGTAAATATAACTTTTTGAGAACGTTTCGATAATTAATTATCAAAATAATATTTATGTCAGTCCACATCGAAAATCTGCCATTCCTAAAAATAGGTATTCTAAATGAGCCGAAAAATTTAAGCCGGTTTTAAAAATTTTTGGTCGCGTTGCGGCATCGCGCGGCGGTCCGACCCCATAATACATACGCAATTAGAAACCACTGATTTAGAAAGAAGAATGGTAGCTCTGTAAGATGGTATAACTTTGCCAGCTGTATAATATAATTAAATGCAAAAAATGTTCAATTTAAAATTTTAAAATGATTTTTTTCCATGAAAAAATAATTTTACAGCCGCCAAAGTTGTATATTCCGAAAGGGCATCCAATTTGCCATAAAACTGTTACGATTTAATGAACACTCCGTGTATGGGGTCGGACCGCAGTAAATGAAACCAATGTATACAAATCGCGACGACCCGCATCTAAATTTCGCCGGCTCGAGTCAAGATTGTGTTGAATTTCGGAACACCCGACCTCGGTTCAGAGCAAGATTTTGTGTTTATTCGTTGATTACAGTGGATTTAAAAACACGTGCAGGTAAGTTGAATGCATATTATATTACTAGCTATATTCTATTTATTTATGATTAACTGCTGCTTTAATACATTTGAATATTAGTGTCCGCTTATCGGTAATTGCTCCACGCTTAAAAAAAAATTTTCCAAAAAATTATCTAGCCTTTTTTAAAAGTCAGTTGTATTTAATTTATGGTCACTGAAATAAAAAAGGAATGCGCAATTAAATCAAAAAGATGTTTAAAAGGATGATAGAATTTAATTTGTTTTAGTAAATTATGTTAGTTAATAACATCGGCCGATTAAACTATCAATATTTTGTCGATATTTCAAGCCGATTGTCCGCCATGTTTTTTTTTACTTTCTCGTAGTGTTGGGTTCAACTATTATATTACCGCAGCTGTTAACAGCATACTTTCAATTTATTGTAGCATTGTTTTCTTTTTGTCTTTCCTAGTTTCATAGTTAACTATTCTATATATGTGCAGTAGTTACATTAAATTTTAGAATATTACGATCTTTTACATTTTTTATCTCTAGATTTATTGTAAAGACGACTTAAAATAAAATGTAGCCCCCCTTCCATAATAGTTTAGTCCAAAGTTGTTTCTAGATTTAGTCTAGATTCTAGATCTACTTAGATTAGTTAGATTCACTATTGCTTTCATGTTAATATTTAGATCTAGTAGTATAACTATCTATAGTGCTTACATTTAATATCTAAAAAGCATTGAGCAGCCTTACTTTTAATATTATTATTATTCTATTTACAGAGCAAGATATTAGCATGAAAGAAAGGGGAAACTCATTGGCCTACCAAAAATTTTGTATTGTTGTGAAAGCAACAACAGGACTCCTGAATACTTTTGAAGGAAACCATATGTCAAATGTTAGTATTGTATGCACTTTGCTTATTATTTATAATGATGTAATGTTACATGATTGATATTTAAGTTGGTATAAAGATATACAGGCCTGTTATATAAGTCAGTATATTTGAAATGCTAATTAATTGTTTTTATTCACAGACATTTTCTATACTCTGGACCAATGGAAGGATCCCTTACTAGATTCCATAATTTGATCTGTAACCTTGAAGAAGACAAACTCAACCAGGATATTGACTATTAATTACAATGCTACCCAACCTCATAGAGAAATTTCCCAATCAGGATATTGACCTGTCTTTTTGAACCTGCTCTAAGATTTCTGATAATTGTATAAGTTAGGACCTAGACATTTCCAGAAGTTGACTTTGATCAATAACTAACTAGAAGAAATAAATATACTAGTAACAAGTAAATTTATGCTAAACAAGTCATGATTAGGAACCAGAGTAACAAAACTAGATGAACATCACAACTCTATTAGGGTAATTTAAAAAGAATTTCAGTTTAATTAGTTATCTTACTTCGTCAGTTTTTAAAATGCATGGAATTTCTTCTTATTATAGTATATAAGTAAAGAAGTAGTATAGTTATTTAGTTTTTTATAACAAAGTAATGCTAACATGTTTCCTACACAATTTATATTACTTTCTTAAAAGTAAGAACACTTTTTGCAAGATGTTAGGTAATGAAAATTCTTGATTTTGGGCGTTAAGGAAGGATGCCTTGTATTGTTTTGCAGAATGATTATTTTATGTCTTTGTGTTTATTATATATTAAGAACATCATGTGCTTTAAGTTGGTGTAAAATTTATTAAGATACCTTACTTAAATAATTTTTAATAATTTTTTGAAAAAGGATGAAATTTCTAATTTTTATAAACTGACCTTGCTGAATCTGATCTCGCTAATTACTTTCTTTATTAATTCTTTACCTGCTTATTTTATACTAACATGGTTTGAATTTCCTTTCTTAGAACATTTATATTATTAATGTGGCTTAATTAGTTGATTTTCTATGATTTTTTAAAAATGACTGTAAATTAACTTTTTGTCTCCCTTTTCGTACTTCGGTAAAATTGTGCTTTGGCTCATTTTTATGTGAATAAATTTTCTATTTATATCTGTCTGACTACCTTGAAAAAAATTGGGTTTGCTATTTGTTTTACTGGCTGTGTGTGCAAGAAATTTGAGAGTTCTAACTTAGTTATTGTAGAAGTTAGTAGGGGTCTCAAATAGACCCTTTACTGTTCAAAAAGCGAACGCATTTTTTAAGTTTTAAAAAATTCATAACTTTTTTAAAAATGGACATACATCAATAAATTTGGTGTTTCTGTTCTGATGAAAACAGTCTCTATCAGGTGGAAGTGTTAAATTTTATTTAATTTCATTATAAAAATTTCATTTTGAATACCTACTAAAAATCCTAAAAAAATTACTGTGTGCCCTGACGGTACTTATAAGTCCACTTGTAAACATCGATCTAATACAAAGAGAATGTGATTAAAATTGTATAACTAGAAGTTAAACGCGTTACCCCGACTATTGGAGATGCCAATAAAAAATACTTGGGGATAAAAACTTCAAGAATAACGTAAAACAAAGGGAAATCAGGAACGTGTGTGAGAAAGTTACAGAACAATTGTAAACTACCGATACAGTAAGACATTGTAATTGGCGCCACACCAAAAATTGTCAAAATACATCGATCCCTTGAACTACCGGCGACACAGGGGAGATAATACTATTAATTACATCAATAATTTTTAAAATTCGTATTACATTAAAAATAATACATGCATGGTTTTAACTCACACACTAATGCCAGAATTCTAGTCCTGTCATCATCTTTTATCAGATCTATCAGAATATTGGCTACTGTCCCCAACAAGATGGTTTCCATGGTGATCTGACAGGACGAGAGTCCCTTCAGCTCTACGGGCAGTTGAAAGGAATTCCAAAAGAAAACCTTAAAGAAGTAATCGATGGCCTACTTAAACAAGTTATGCTGGAAGCACATGCTGATAAACTGGCAAAATATTACAGGTAAATATTTTTTAAAGCAAAAGGGCAAAGTGTTACAGGTAAATATTTTTGAAAGCAAAATATTATAGGTAAATATTTTTTAAAGCAAAGTGTTACAGGTAAATATTTTTTAAAGCAAAATATTATAGGTAAATATTTTTTAAAGCAAAGTGTTACGGGTAAATATTTTTTATAGCAAAGTGTTACAGGTAAATATTTCATAGCAAATTTTTTGTTACAGGTAAATATTTTATCGTAAAATATTACAGGTTAACAGGAAAATCATTGGCTGCGCCATGTTTACATATGAATAAAAAACATTGGCTGGGCCATATAAAGAGTAGGGAAAACATAGGCTGGGCCATATAAAGAGTAGGGAAAACATTTGTTGGGCCATATAAAGAGTAGGGAAAACATTGGCTGGGCCATACAAAGAGTAGGGAAAACATTGGCTGGGCCATACAAAGAGTAGAGAAAACATAGGCTGGGCCATACAAAGAGTAGGGAAAACATTGGCTGGGCTATATAAAGATTAGGGAAAACATAGGCTGGGCCATATAAAGAGTAGAGAAAACATAGGCTGGGCCATATAAAGAGTAGGGAAAACATTGGCTGGGCCATACAAAGAGTAGAGAAAACATAGGCTGGGCCATATAAAGAGTAGAGAAAACATAGGCTGGGCCATACAAAGAGTAGGGAAAACATAGGCTGGGCCATACAAAGAGTAGGGAAAACATTGGCTGGGCTATATAAAGATTAGGGAAAACATAGGCTGGGCCATATAAAGAGTAGAGAAAACATAGGCTGGGCCATATAAAGAGTAGGGAAAACATTGGCTGGGCCATACAAAGAGTAGAGAAAACATAGGCTGGGCCATATAAAGAGTAGAGAAAACATAGGCTGGGCCATACAAAGAGTAGGGAAAACATTGGCTGGGCTATATAAAGATTAGGGAAAACATAGGCTGGGCCATATAAAGAGTAGGGAAAACATATGCTGGGCCATATAAAGAGTAGGGAAAACATTGGCTGGGCCATATAAAGAGTAGAGAAAACATAGGCTGGGCCATATAAAGACTAGGGAAAACATTGGCTGGGCCATACAAAGAGTAGAGAAAACATAGGCTGGGCCATATAAAGAGTAGAGAAAACATAGGCTGGGCCATACAAAGAGTAGGGAAAACATTGGCTGGGCTATATAAAGAGTAGGGAAAACATAGGCTGGGCCATACAAAGAGTAGAGAAAACATAGGCTGGGCCATACAAAGAGTAGAGAAAACATAGGCTGGGCCATATAAAGAGTAGAGAAAACATAGGCTGGGCCATACAAAGAGTAGAGAAAACATAGGCTGGGCCATATAAAGAGTAGAGAAAACATAGGCTGGGCCATACAAAGAGTAGGGAAAACATTGGCTGGGCTATATAAAGAGTAGGGAAAACATAGGCTGGGCCATATAAAGAGTAGGGAAAACATTGGCTGGGCCATACAAAGAGTAGAGAAAACATAGGCTGGGCCATATAAAGAGTAGGGAAAACATTGGCTGGGCTATATAAAGAGTAGGGAAAACATAGGCTGGGCCATATAAAGAGTAGGGAAAACATTGGCTGGGCCATACAAAGAGTAGAGAAAACATAGGCTGGGCCATATAAAGAGTAGGGAAAACATTGGCTGGGCCATACAAAGAGTAGAGAAAACATAGGCTGGGCCATATAAAGATTAGGGAAAACATAGGCTGGGCCATACAAAGAGTAGGGAAAACATAGGCTGGGCCATATAAAGAGTAGGGAAAACATTGGCTGGGCCATACAAAGAGTAGGGAAAACATAGGCTGGGCCATACAAAGAGTAGGGAAAACATAGGCTGGGCCATATAAAGAGTAGGGAAAACATTGGCTGGGCCTTATAAAGAGTAGGGAAAACATTGGCTGGGCCATATAAAGAGTAGGGAAAACATAGGCTGGGCCATACAAAGAGTAGGGAAAACATAGGCTGGGCCATATAAAGAGTAGGGAAAACATTGGCTGGGCCATACAAAGAGTAGGGAAAACATAGGCTGGGCCATACAAAGAGTAGGGAAAACATAGGCTGGGCCATATAAAGAGTAGGGAAAACATTGGCTGGGCCTTATAAAGAGTAGGGAAAACATTGGCTGGGCCATATAAAGAGTAGGGAAAACATTGGCTGGGCCATATAAAGAGTAGGGAAAACATTGGCTGGGCCTTATAAAGAGTAGGGAAAACATTGGCTGGGCCATATAAAGAGTAGGGAAAACATAGGCTGGGCCATATAAAGAGTAGGGAAAACATTGGCTGGGCCATATAAAGAGTAGGGAAAACATAGGCTGGGCCATATAAAGAGTAGGGAAAACATTTGTTGGGCCATATAAAGATTAGGGAAAACATTGGCTGGGCCATATAAAGAGTAGGGAAAACATATGCTGGGCCATATAAAGAGTAGGGAAAACATAGGCTGGGCCATATAAAGAGTAGGGAAAACATAGGCTGGGCCATATAAAGATTAGGGAAAACATAGGCTGGGCCATAGAAAGAGTAGGGAAAACATTGGCTGGGCCATAGAAAGAGTAGGGAAAACATAGGCTGGGCCATATAAAGAGTAGGGAAAACATTGGCTGGGCCATATAAAGAGTAGGGAAAACATAGGCTGGGCCATATAAAGAGTAGGGAAAACATAGGCTGGGCCATATAAAGAGTAGGGAAAACATAGGCTGGGCCATATAAAGAGTAGGGAAAACATAGGCTGGGCCATACAAAGAGTAGGGAAAACATTGGCTGGGCCATATAAAGAGTAGGGAAAACATTGGCTGGGCCATATAAAGAGTAGGGAAAACATAGGCTGGGCCATACAAAGAGTAGGGAAAACATTGGCTGGGCCATATAAAGAGTAGGGAAAACATTGGCTGGGCCATATAAAGAGTAGGGAAAACATTGGCTGGGCCTTATAAAGAGTAGGGAAAACATTGGCTTGGCCATATAAAGAGTAGGGAAAACATTGGCTGGGCCATATGAAGAGTAGGGAAAACATTGGCTGGGCCTTATAAAGAGTAGGGAAAACATTGGCTGGGCCATATAAAGAGTAGGGAAAACATTGGCTGGGCCATATAAAGAGTAGGCAAAACATTGGCTGGGCCATATAAAGAGTAGGGAAAACATTGGCTGGGCCATGTTTAGATAGGGGGAAA